TAACGTCTCGTATCTATTGTCGTGACGTCATGGCTCGCTGGCTCACACTTGTGATATGTCTCACACTTGTGATCAAATAACACGCTGGCTCGCACTTTGGCAACACTCTTTGGCAGTCAACTCGCCCAGAAAACCCGCCCTTGCCCCATAAAAACATATACACTTCCTAGACCATGCAGTCTTCAAAATAAAAATTGTAACCTTTGGTAATCAACTACATTTTCCACATACATAGACATTTTTGAAACTTTATTAAAAAAAACCTAAACCATAATTCATCACACTATAGACACTTTTTGACAAAAATGAAAAATTACGACTTTGTTACCCAATGAGAAGTGTTCTAATATAGACAATGGGTCGTGTCTCATATGTATATATGTATATCTCATGTTATAGTTTTATTTATTATTCATTATTTTCACTTGACCCGTATAAATAATTTTGTTCGAAGAACATTTATATGCAGTTGTACTTCGCAGCACTTCACTTGCAATTTGCAATTTCTAGTTTAGATGAATACGGTATTCAATATTTGCATTGATTCGCAAGATGCGCTATACAAATCCAACTATTATTATTATTATTATTATTATTATTATTATTATTATTGCTGACCTTGTTTAGTAGCCTGCTTTCAAATGGTAATTAAATTCTAAGAAACTAATCTAACAAATTACAGATCTGTGCATTAATATACTTTTTGTATTTTGCATATTAGCTGGCTGGAAACTAAATTGTTCTTTTTTTTTCAATCTGTTTCTCATATTAAATATTTTGTTCTTTTAATGAGCAGTGACTAAGCATATAGTTCTGATTTAATGTTTGAGTAGTTATATATATGATTTCACATTTGGTTAGAGATTTTTTAGCTGCTACCAGAGGTGGGGGCAGATGCAAGATTTGGGGGGAGGGGGTGGGAGATGTATGAAGGTCCACACCACCTCAGCCCCAGTAAAAATATTGAGAATAATGGACCTGACCTGATGGAAAATGCATTCTCATACTTTAAAAAGCTTAACGGTACTATGTTCATAAGATAAAAATAATATTCAACAATACAATACAGCATCGTAGCCTATCTTCCCGAAGGCCGGAGGCCCGAGGGAAGATAGGCTACGGTCTCCACATCACCGAGGGGAAATAGATTTCACTGTTCCCCGAATCCAGAGCAGTCAATATTTGTTTTATATACCTCATACATAGATTCTACGAGGCCTAAAAAAAGTATTTACTTCCTAGCCTAGCCTAGAGAGGCCTACTAACTAGGGTGTAGGCCTAGGCGATAAAAGATTGTATCTAGCTCTTCTTTTGCTTATTTCCACAATTTCAACCCATCGTCTTGCAATATTTGTCGACTAGTGACAAGACATAATTAATTTGTCCTTTGGTGCTTTTGCAATCAGCTTCATCAAGACAGACCTGCCAACTCACCTCAAACAAATTCCAGTGCTCCCGATCGTATGTAATTTTCACCCGATTTCACTATTTTACATGTTCCCTCCAAAATACTCCGATTTGTACGTAAATTTAGATCGTTATTATTCAATGTACAGTATTCGCGGCGATAGACAAGCAGCAATTTAATGAGTTGTTTTGCAGTAATTTTGTACCATTGGTTGCATACCACTATGATTTGTCTTGGTGCATCTTTTTTAGTAAATTGCATCATATTTTGGTTAATTCTAAATACCTCCAGATTTTTGGGTAAATAAATTTTTTTAAGATTAAAAACAAAAAAAAATCTCCAGATTTTCATGGGCCAGGGGTTGGCAGGTCTGGGCCTTCTTCATCTGGCAGCTTGAACCTACAGCCTCCATAATTATTGTTTATCGTCTACTCGCTGATCCGTGGCACCGTCAAGAGCCAATCTCTTTTGTCATAGAGGTCGCCGTCCCCATCTACCGTCATGGTGGGGCCTAGAGTTTGCACCACGCGACAGGTCAAAAAGTATTATTTTTCTGGGTAACAGTACTTTTTATTGCCCGTTTCTTAACCAATCAGATGCCTAGAATCTGTATGAGGTATATATAATATTTTATATATGTCTGTTGTTAATAAGTAAGGAAAATTTTTTCTTGTTTGGAATTTTAATTGAACGCAAGTAAGTTATTAAAATGTAGTTCAATTATGCAGTTCATTTGTCTAAATATTCAAGTTTATATTACAATATGTTGGCAATATATCCTCACTGTGTTCAATTATTCTTTATTGTTATTCATTATAAAACATACAAAAGAATATTTACACATGCCAATATGGAGTCTGGTTGAGCAAACTGTGCAGGCAAAAAACACGAAGATCAATGCAATTTCAGAAGTTATCAGAACATTGGTATGGTTTTTAGAGAAAAAAACAATTATAGTAATGAAATGCATTAATTTGTAATTATTATTATTTTGAAATTATTCTTTGTATTATATGTACAAGGTTTTGAAAATATGAACATTAAAAATTAAAGTACTATTAGTTAAATTATTGTAATGGCAATGTATCATTATTAGAACTAAAATTACAAAATACACAAATAATTCAGATAGGACGCACAACACACACCTTTTACGTTTAATATTTTATTAAATAATTAGAGAAAAAGTTATTTATGGTACATAATTGTGAACGACTGATTATAATTATAATACTTTAATTAACAAAATAATAAAAGTAACAAGATGAGAGTTGCTATTATACTCTTAGAATTTGCTAAAGAAGTACATATTTTTATCTCCGATGATGAGCTCTAGAAACACTTGGCTGATTGATTAATAGATCGTTTTTGTATATGTGGCTAATCTACTCTACTGCCTTCATTATACTGCCCTCATTGGAGCTTTCGAGAATACAACTTGTTTGTGTTTGGCAGACAATAGGTTTCCATCATGGTAATTAATATCATAACAAACCAGCTCGTAATATCACGGTTGTGGTATTTGAACAGTCAGAACACAGCTGGTGATATATTATTAAGATATATTATTGACTGTATTTTATAGTTACTTAAAATTAATATACTGTACATAACATTTGTTGATCTTTCGTGTACATATAAAACCAATTTTTGCAATTATGCTTCGAAATTATGTTTCATAATTTCAATAATTTGTTAGTTGATCCTTGACTTTGGTGTGTAAAGCTATATTTACACTAGACACGATTATGACATGACATGACACAATACAGATGCGTGTTGAAGAATATAAAAACTACACGATGATATGCGTTTGTCATGTTGTTATCGTGTCTAGTGTAATCTAGCTAACCGTATAAAAGCCTTGGTTCTCATTAGGGTTCAGGTTTAACTCCAGCAAATAGTTAGTTTTCGTTTGGAGAACGTAGATCAATTGTGATGTTTTATGGCACGTACGCGGAGACATCACGAACGCAAAGGCTGGCACACCAGTGTTATTTACAGTATAGTCCTCGTTCTGGTCTGAAGGTAGATTTGGCCGGCAACCGTTACAGATTTTAGGAGAGAATTTAACACACAATGTTCAGATATGCTCAGTTTAATTAACAGGACGTCATTATATTCTACGTTCTATGCTGTTGCAAATCAAAAGCTCCTTTTTGTGATTTAGTGGAACAGTGGTGGCAAGAAGCTTGCTACCCTACCAAGGGTCCTGGGTTCAAATCCTGCAATGTTGATGGACTGGATGCTTGCCTTCCAATCCCAGGGTCCTGGGTTCAATTCCTGCAGGTTATTTTTTGTTGAATGGGATTAGTATGAAATTAATAAAAATGTATCATGTAATGTAAGTAACATGCCACTCTCTCATTAATGAGAATGAAATATTAAAAAAAAAACCATTATAATTCATAAGTCATTGCATGGGTTAAACTGTAGAAGGGGCTTATTATTACAGTGCAATCAACTATACCCAGATTGCATATGTGTTTTACTCAGCTGTTTCTGTATCTCTTCTCTTCAGAAAGCGATAAACCTTATTGGATTGTCAAGAACAGTTGGGGAGATGATTGGGGTGTGAAGGTATTGTTCACCTTTAATTATTTCAATATTATTATAGGAGCTATTTTTCATTGCGAAATCACTTTTAATTAAATTGTTTATTGCAGAATATAATCAGTTGAATTATATTTTGCAAACCACTCCATGAAATTTCAAATGTTTTATCATAATAATTTCACAATACTGGACTCCGCCTCTACAACCCAAACTCTAAAAATCAAAGAAGCCTTGCATATTCAGTGGGTACAGCCCTCACTGAACAAACAGCTTTTTCATGTTAATTTATCTTTGTCATTCTAAATTCATTCCATTCTCCCCTTAGTGGCATTTAAAATACTGCACTCTGATCTTATCTTATCTTTATTTATATTTTGCTTTGTAGTACTGTTACGGTTCATTCCACAATTTTTTTTAGCTTGCATACATTGAATTTTTACTCCCCTATATCAATGATTGCCTGCGTGCAATAGATAACTGACGATGGTAGTGGACTGCCGAAACATGTCTTATTGGGGCCGTTAAGGCCATAACTTATTTTGATTAAATACAGGCTTTGCCTATGATGAAGATACGATCTGTTGTGTTGTTTTTGAGAATTTTATCATAATAATAATAAAATATTTTATTATTTTTATGGAAGCAGTGGCATATCTATATGGGCTGTGCTGGGGGCCCACTCCTCCAAAAATGCTTGTACCTCCCATAGGAGGCCCCCACCCTCCAATCAAAATGTCCAAAGCAAAGAAAAAGAATCGTGCTCAAGTAGTATAAAATTACCTCAAATCACCTTATTTTGCGACCTAACATCCCCTCACTTAATCATCGAGGGCCCCCTACTCTATACTGTCTCTTATACACATCTAGATGTGTATAAGAGACAGGTGTGTACTCATTTGACACCCGATGAGGATTTATGTTATTATAATTATTTGTTTTCTATATTTTATCATTAATTTGATAGCACCATTTCAATGTAATTTTATCCTTATGTATTTGATACAGTATCAATCAATCTGACCCAATGAACAAACTAATCCAAACTGTTGGGAGCATTCCCAGCTGTGTGTAAATTCAGCATAGACCAACTCTTCTATTTACATTATTGACATAGACATCCATCCAGGGCAGTGATAACACTGCTTATTTTGATTGTTACGTTTATATTAATATTGTGGGATGTACTGGTATTATAATGTTATTATTTACATGAAGAATTCAATGAACTCATAAAAACAGGATGTATAAGTGTAGCTTCTTGGTTAAGATGCTTGCCCTCCATTCCCTGGGTCCGGGGTTCAAATCCTGTAATATTGATGAAGTGGAGCTGTAGCTTGTGGTTAAGATGCTTGCCTTCCAGTCCCAGGGTCCTGGATTCAAATCCTGCAAGTTATTTTGTTGTTGAATAAGATTAGTATTAAATTTTAAAAAATGTATCATGTAATGTAATACAGAGTAAAACCAATATTTACTATTGCAACCTCCTATATATAATATAGAAATAAATATGCAATCATTAGTACATGTACAACCTTCTATTACCAGGCATATTGTTAGATCCACTCAAGGTCTGGGTAATTAACAGTTTAACAATGTGACTCAGTGTTAACTGCTGTAAAATGGACAATAGATTATTAGACGTGTTGCGGAAACTTAAAATCACATCTCATTTTCTATAAATAGGGATATTACTTGGTGTACCGTGGTGACGGTGTCTGCGGCCTTAACCAAATGTGTACATCGGCAGTGATTGAGTAACGCAGATCCGATCGACACCAGATGCATTAACAAAACCAAAATATCTCCCGAGAAAACTCAACAATAAAGAGTATCTTTTATAGCAAGAAAATATTGTACGGAAAGTAATAAGATTCTGTATATTTTAAAGAATGTTTTTTTTTTTTTAAAGTCAATGTTGTTATCATTCAGTGGTTTTAAAAGATTTTTTTTTTGTATTGAAACTGCTTGATGTAATGCAGATACTTTTTATTTTTAATGGATCACTCCATTATTTAACGTTATATATTTGTGTTTGCTTCATAGGTGTATTACTCTTAATAACTTTTATATAATATGCTTATATTTCTATAGAGTGCTTGGCAAACTTAAATTAATCCAGGTATGTAGTAATGTGACATGCTGACTAGGTTTGTTATTGTACCTGCAAATGAGGTACTGGAATGTAGTATGGCTGTTTAAATGAGAAATAATAAGGACTGTATTGGTTATGGCTTGCTTTAACAAATCTTTTTTATGCCTTGTTTACAGGGTCAGATTCAGAGAAAAATCTGGGTATTGGCCATACGAAGTACCTAGCGGTTGGGGGTGCTTTTGCATTTTCTGTTTTTTCTTGATCATAGACTAGTGCATGGAATTTAAATCGAAGATTAGCTTGTTGTGGAGTACAGTGCTCCCATCTACTTGTTTATATCTGTCTCTTATACACATCTAGATGTGTATAAGAGACAGGGTGGGAGATGCTGCGATGTATACAATACAGGAAATGGACTGATGAATGCTTTAAATTTATTTCGGAGGAAAATATTTAAAATAGTTTTTATCTGTAAAGCCTAGACATTTGTCGTAATCGAATGGGAGCTACAAAAACTTTTTCGTACTTAACGTTCGAAATCCTTCGTTGAGTTTGTATTAAGGGGCTAACATACTCAACAGATTAGTTGCAATGGAATGCGTCAATTATGTTGGTATGCAAGATGAACAAAACAAGGTATAAAAAAGTGTCGCCTTAAAGCAACAACCTGCTTTAAGAATTATTTTGATAAAGATGTACTATAATTGGTGTTTTTTATAATAGTTCAACTATCATAGAACATATTACTTTACATATTTGATGATAGAATATTAAAATATTTAATAATAATAATAACTTAAATAATACTATTTTAATGAGGAAATAAATGTTTTAATGTTATTTTAATTAAAATTATTAAAATACAAAATAATATTGATTATATAATAATTATATTGATTATATATATATTATATATTGTATTATATAAGAATATCAACAAAGTATTGTGAAGTGAATCTAGTGACTTGGTCGTACAGTATTATAGGGTCGTCTTTAGGTTTGGGTTATTGCTTTAACTTATACAGACTATTAGTATTATTATTAATATATAATAAGCACACATTCGCTACAAATACTACAAAAGGAGCTCAAAATCATGAAAGGATAATTTACTATAATAGTGATCCAATGGCGAGAGACCTTGTGAAATTTGACAGAAACTAATCAACATAGTTGGTTCATTAATTACGCCATCATTATAATAGAGTGCCAACCGAACCTGTGACCACGAAGTTGAAGGTTGCGTGCTATAACAATGCAAATCATTTAAGAGTCTATCAGTTTGATTCTTTATTCCCAACTTAACCAGCTGTTTCTTATGGAGTTTAATTTGTTTTGGTAATTGAGTTCAATTCTTCGTTTTTCAAGTGCATAAAAGTTCCAGTAACATTTGCCGGCCTCATGCATGCATGTATATTAAAGATAATATTGAGTAAGTGTTTACACTGAAGACGATAGAATGGTGAGTGTACGACTCTTTGTATAATGATTTGGTTAATAAAACCTATCTCCACACTGGAAGATGTTCCCATGCATAGATTGAATTAGATATTTAAATTCCATTATAATATTACAGTAGTTGTATATAAGCAGAATGAAATCGTGAGAATATATCGTGCAACCAGGCGCAACCTACTAAAAATATACAAATCTGGAATAGACAGTTTGTTGAGAAACGAGAGAATTATTATTTAGGCCTCGCCTACATGAGGTACCCAGAGCCATATATATAAAGAGTTGCGACATTCCGCTCCTTGGTTTGCGATAGTCACGTGGTACACACTGTCCATTTTGTGTCATGATCTTCCCGATGAACACATGCAAAGTATATGAGTTACGTACACTGCATATTAATTTTACACACTTAATTGGGTTTACAATTATATTATTTTATAATTAACATCACGTAGTATGGACAGCTGTATCATTAATAAAGATGTGTATAAGAGACAGCCTGCAACCAGGCGCAACCTACTAAAAATATACAAATCTGGAATAGACAGTTTGTTGAGAAACGAGAGAATTATTATTTAGGCCTCGCCTACATGATGTACCATAAAGAGGGCGCCCTCGTCATTTTTGCGTTTGGTGGTTATTGCGCTCTTTTGCATTACGTTACGTTCAGATTTAAAGTTTGATCACAGCCCAACTAGTGTAACTCCTTTTCTAAAGTTAAACAACTATCTAAACACTATGCGCTTTTTTTTTTTTTTTTATTATGTTCAGATTTAAAATTTAACAGCCAACTCTCTGCTCAATTTTTTTTTGCGGTGCCTATGCAGCCTTAATATTTTACAGGCATTCCACTGAGAAAGCCGATCGTATTTGAAAGGCCTACATAGTCTATACAGAATTCTACTTGTCTATTTTTATTAATGGAGTTTCCCGGTGTGTTAGTAAGATTTTAAAACTGACCAATAAAACCAGGGCCAGCAGTACGCGCATGTCCCACAAACACAAGCGTTGCCAGAATTCTCACTGACACTGGCTTCCGAATCACAGCAGTACCACACTAGTTCAGTCCCTCTAACAAGTATAAAACACAAGTTAACCTTTGTTATTTTGGGCTTTTAGAAGGGAACTTGAGGAGGAGGTCATACTAGGGAGTATTCCTACGCTCCGTTTCCAATCTGAGAATTATAGTAAACCTACAGGTAGCATAAGATTCTAATGATAAAAACCCGGATACCCAATGTGTCTATACGACTGTCATGTATACCTATGTTTCCCTACCCTCGCGATATAATTTTTTGTTGCCAAAAGTATTTTTCTTTGTTTTAATCAAAGCCACGATAGGACATGCGTAAATGCGGGTGGTATTGTTATACAGTATCTAATATGGTGGTTTTAATCAATACATATAAAACGTTATTGCCGTTTATGCAGTAGATATCTCTTGAAGCTTTATACTGTAAACACAGTTTGTAGGCTAAGCTATTGTGAGCTATGTTCGTATCCGTTGTGTGGTTATTGACACTGCGATAATATGGGTGTCAATCATTTATGCCGAAATTTACATGGTTATGGACGTGTCTTGAACCATCTAAATTAATACGCGAGCAACAGTTTGTTATTCCCCTACCAGTACATCCAATGCACAAAACTCCATTAATTTTGGCTAGTTTATATTATTTACAGCCACACTCTTTGAAACAGATCGCTTCTTCTTGCTGGACTTCAAGTCGTATCGTTATTGAATATAACCAACGAATTATCGCGCCTCGCTTATCGATTGCCGTCTGAAATTTCGGCGGTTGAATACAAGTGACTGTTTGATGAATTCATTAGTACCATATCGAAGTGGATATTGTTGAGCAAGTGTCACAGTGCCAATGCATCAATTGTCGGATGACAAAGACCGAGAGATCAGTGCGTAAAAACGATTGCTTGACCACACTCTGTATGAGAAACAGACGGAACGTTTTGTGTTGCCTCTACAACAGCTTCATCGTAATATTTCGATATTTTCTGCATTTAAAAAAAAAACATTTTCTACGTTGAAATTCACATCGTTGGGAAAAGTTCATATACGCCAATATTACATGGATTTACCATATGCTATGTTTAATATCCATTGTCATGAAAATTAATTTCAGTATAAAATGGTTAATACCATATGGCTCGTCAGACTATAAAATCGAATGTTATATGAAATTATGTGCAATATTGATCGATAGCATCTAGCTATTTGAAGGGTTACGAGACGCCGTCATTTAGGCCTGCTGTTCTGCTCTTCTCCGGATATGGTATCATCAGATAGTGACTAATTTCAGTTCCAGGACCATCCATGTATCATTAATAACATAATAGTCTCTTTCTGTAACCAGTTTCCTTTCAATTTACCAATTGTTTCCTGTCTGACAGTTCCCGTGTTTTTATTTTCATGGCTCGCAGAACGTTCAAGTCAAACAACAGGACAATGGCGAAGAAGTTGAAACTATGTTTATTTGTATTCTTCATTTTCGTACTCTACCTGTTGTTTGGCTCTCTAGTATTTTCTGCTATAGAAAAGGATAATGAAATAAACGTTACTCTTAGGCTCTCGGATGATTTAAACTCATTTCTTGATGCACATACTTGTGTGAATGAATCCGAACTTATGGAAGTTTTACAGATGATCAAGAAAGCAATAGACGACGGCGCCTATAATGTAACTTTCAGTAACACAACAGAGGATGCGGACTTGATATGGGATACGATATCTGGGATTTTCTTTTGCTTCACCATTGTAACAACAATAGGTAAACTTGTATTGTTTATTTTCTTTCTGAATGCGCCATATTTTTTATTTGCTTTGTAAATTTACATAAGCATTAGGATCATCAATTAGGAGTCTACAGTATAATGCGGACCAAGAAGTACAGTATAGGCAGGAACTATATATAGGCCAACTATATTTTGGTTTAGGCCTTTGAAGTCACGCTTTGTTTTGTTTGACGGATAATTTCTTATACAGTATTTCATCGTGAGTTTAGTCCCCTTCCAAAATAATAGCTTAGGCAAAATTGTTCATTTTGAAGTTCCAGGCTTATACCGTACGCGTCATAATTATAAGGTTGTTACGGCCAGGTATTCCAACAACGACTAAGCCCATATAAAAAATAATGACGTGTCTCCTTGAAAAAATATGTAAATATATTATATTGCAGTTTATCATAGCATTATCAGTGCTGTAACCATGGAGACAGAAGTATTTTGTTTCTTTTATTTGGTGTCCATACGTGCTATTGTTTATTGTGGTGTCATGTATTTTAACTGAAGGCTATTTGAAGGATATAATTTGTTCTTTGCCTATATGTGAATGTGTTATCTATTACATGTAAACATGACCAGAATATAACCTGGGTGAATGTTGACAAATCACTGTATATGTTATATATTCCAGCAATGTGTCCGGTTCCCACAACCTTTGTTCTCCAAAAGTAACCTCACCTGTGAGCAATACAAATAGGATCCATTTATATATATATTTATATATATATGTATATATACTTATATATATATATACTTATATATATATATATATATATATATATATATATATAGATGAAGCATCAACTCTTGTTTACATATGTACATGTGTAATGTATATATTTATATTAGCCATACTGTATGTAACGATAACATAATTTACAGAGGATGAAAAATAACCCCACCATGAAGCAATATACAAATATATGGCTCATATTATTACTCATAATAATGATAATAATATTATCAATATTAATTAAACAAAAATATTATTGTAACAACATGTATTACAACAGCAGTACATAATATATATTGACTAAACTTCTTAAATTTCGTACGGTAGCATTGAATCGATCAACTTTTATTTGCATATAAGCCTGTTTATAAAATATACAATTACCGTACCGAGCATTAGACCAATTTTACTTTATTTACCTGGAGGTTGACAAAACACTATACAGCTAAACCTCTCTGTGTGAGCAGTCTTATGCGACCACCGGCCAAAAGCCCATTTTGTTTCCCATTCAATTACTGTATTTGATACCTCTTGTTATTAAACTCAAAACCGATTAAATAAGCCTTTGAAACCCTTAAATTTTCATATTTTTCGGGGGCTTCGCACCCTAAACACTTTCGAGAGGTTTTGAGCGACGCTTTTTTCGTCGGAGACATCGCCCCCACCCCCCGTCAGGAACCTCGGACACCCCGTCGGCCAAATCCTAATCCTCTAAAGATAAACAGTCCGTCATAAATTGTGGGGAAATCCCTTAAAATTTAATAAGAACATTATGCTCATTTAAATGGATATTGTAGTTACCGTAATCATTTTCAATGATACACAGGTCAAGACCATCAGTTGGCTGGTACTGAAAAGGGAAGGTCCGTCAGTATATCATTTTTCCTAACATCTTTAAGTAATTATTTGAAAAATCCGACTGGAAGGTCTTACTCTGTATTTCGACATGCAGTTCAGGTACATCTCCTTAGCTTAATATATATGATTTAATCGTGATATCAATTCTGAACTCTACATCCTAAAACAGGTACCGTAAAACAAGGGAAGGGATATATTTTTTCCTAACATCAATAAAGTAATTATATGAACAATCCGACAAAGTCGATGTAAATTTCACGGACGAATACAGAAATGAAATACTCTATTTTACTTTTAGTTCAGGTAAAACCCCTTGACCCATTGTAGTCAAGGCCAGGTTTCAATTTTGGCCTTAACTACACAACTGATTGTGAATCTGACAGATATAATTAACTCCCTCTACCTTAAAAAATAATATACTGTATACCACGGTATTTTGAGACTTAATTACCCCGAGATCCTCTGAACTTAAAGTGTCATCTGTTTTTCAATGATCTTTAAATTCATAATATGATTACAACAAATACACTATGCAATTCAATTATTTTCTACAGCCATTATGTTTGTTATTGTTTATTGAACGCGTTTTATTTATGTCTGTACCGTCATGTTTCCGGTAAGCAACGCCCCGGCTTGGATTGTTTGCAAAGGTCGCACAAAATGCCAGTGTAACACTTCATGCGAACACGTGCGTTTGTTTTACAAAATGTGTATTACACCTAACAAGTCACGCATTTGGGGGTCTGTCTCGCTTTCACGATTGAAGACAAAAATCTCACGCACAAATGTAATGACTATATATAGGCCTTATGTATACAATTTTTGACCAGCCCTCTTATTCTCCATCTACAGTACTTACAAGACTGCGTCATGGTAACATCATGTACACCAACTAGCCGCACTAACATGTGCAATTTTTTAAAAACAGACATCTTGTCTGAAACCGTATCCTGTATACTAAATATGTTTTAAATTAAAAATATAAAAATAAATAACACTTAAACAAAACCGTAGTGAAATCATCAGGATCTTGAAATCGGCACGTAAAGTCATTGGATCCGAAGTTGAGAGTTTTGATGACATATATAACAAATCTTTACTTAAGAAATTTATGGACATCATTATTAAAGATCTTTCCCACCCCTTGCATCATGAATACACATCTAACAGATCTGGCCGCCTACGCCCTAAAAAGTGCAATACTAATAGATTAAGAAATTCATTCACTCACAACTCAGTTTATATCTATAATGCTAACTTTGACCGATGACTTCCCATTGCAATACCTTGTGCTATAATTATGTGTGTGCTGTTTACCCATTTGTGGTCTTTCGTACTAACCTCTGTATTTATTTTTGTACAGTATTTATATTTATATTCATTACGTGTATAAGCATCAGGAAAAATTTTTTCAATAAGTGACAATAAAAGTATCTTCTATCTTGTAAGATATTCTTAAAGTGCTGTCGGATATTAGTAAGATCAAAGCGCTCGCACACACACACACTGCCAGCTCATGCCGGTGTAAACAAATGTGTGTGGAGACGAAATGCGTGTATTCGCAATTAATCGGGAAAGTATAGACACTGATTGCATTTTCGAGCACTTACTAAATAAAATTACCGGGAAGGGCAGGGATCTTTCCCCATACCTCTAGGTCCCCATGGGGGTTGGAATTTTCAAAAGTCTGACGACTACAAATTTGTCTAACTTGGAATCTCTGTGTGTTTGTCAGACACGCGCATATTCCTGGTTGTGTTGTGATTAATCAGTTGTTAAGTTTATAATTTTAGCCTCCAGAAAGGTTCGTTGAAGGCCTAAGTTAGGCCTACTATTCTCTTGATTAATTTTTAAAGGTGGTTACAATTAGAATTTGGTTATTAGTAGAGTAGGCCTCCTGGTCACTAATATTATGCCAGCCGCGTCACAGACTGCGTCGTACGACCGTCGGCCGACGAATCCAACCCCGCTTCCTGTGAGCGCTGACGACGTGATATCGTCTGCTGATTGTCGTAGGTTAAATTGAGATGGGAGGCTGAACCATGACATGATCTCTATTATAATGGCAGTGAGTACCCGGCTGAATACCTGTACCAGTAGAAGCTTGACTTTTTTTTATATTTATTTACAAATCAAAACAGATCCCTTTTGATAACAACATCACCGGTTACCAGTACTTCCGAAATAACGCGTGACATTTCCAATCGATTAAACACCAGTAAATTCAATATCTGACTGTCATTTTCATCTGTCGGTGAAGAATTAGTTATTATTAATACATACCGTATTTAATCAAATTTGATGAAGTGGGGGAGGGTTGGGGTGTTATTTAAGGGAGGCATTTATTTTTTTTTTTGGTCTAAACATTGTATATAGGCCTACACAAACACCCCTTAATTTCACCGTAAACTACGACACAAAATTACCGTCAACATGTGTTATTGTGTGCCTACTGTACTTATTGATCCCAACCAAGTTAGAATAAAAGTTATTCTACATTTAATAGAATGTGTTGAGAATGATGTTGCTTCATTAGTTCTATTTAAAGTTACTTGGGTGTTGGGGGGGGGGCGGTTATTCGAGGAAGGCGTTTATTAAGGCGTAGTAGTAGTAGTAGTAGTAGTAGTAGTATGGGTTTTAATTTTCGGCTCAGATTGGTTATCAGAGTGTTCAATGGTCTGCACTCTATTAACTACGGTACCGTCACTGTCCACCAAGAAACGGAGGAAGTTAACCTGCACTTGCTCGCCTAATGGATCGGGCATTAGTTACCGCTAATTATTTTCGTATTAAGAAAATAACAAGTATAATTAGCATTATTGGTATTAAGTAAAAAAAATGCACGCTCTTGAATAGTCAACATAAATAATAGCCTCATAAAAAAACATATTACAACGAATTAGGTCCATATTGATTCCAAACACGAAATATCAAATACAACCGCAGATAAATACTAGAGTGAATTAATTATAAAATATGAATAACTAATATTATTAATGTTTTGATGTACAGTAGGTGCGATCAAAAAGAGTGTATCATCCGCAACCGTGACGTATTTATTTGTATAATGCGATTGAGGATCAGCGTTGGACTGCCGTACTGCTCTACTGGAAATAAAAATCTTCGGATTAGTTGGTTAGCCTTGGTGTAATTCACTAAAAATTACTCCTCCTCCTCCTCCTAAACTGTTTGAGAGTGGTGGCAGCCGATCTAAAAGTGTCAATTTTTACCCTGCTCCCGGACATTATGGTTGTATTGCCATATTCTTAATGTAATTGGGTTATATCTGTCTCTTATACACATCTAGATGTGTATAAGAGACAGGTCCAATACAATATGTGACGTTGTTAGAAGGGTGAGAGCGCTTATTTTAACAATGCGCTTACTCGAATGGGT